ATATACGTAATACTATAGATTCTAGAAAGGATACATCGTATGTACATACATCTATAAACTGAATTTATGACTGTTGAGAGACACTGCTTTAAAACACGTGTTGGCATTCGGGTTAAGATTTTTTGACAACTAGAAACTCTTGAAAATAGTAATAAAATCGTGCCGGTTACAACAACGAACGGATAAGGTAGTAAACATTTGTAAGATGTGAACAAGATATGATTTTCTGTAAATTATAATATATTTATCTTATAAATGTTAAATAAATCTATACCATATTTTATAGTTAACTGTATTTAAATACAAAACGAGATTTCTGCCATGGAAAATGAAAGTGTTGATCCAAATAATGCTACTCGTAATAGAGATGGAAAAGGCTTCAGAAAGGATAACCGTTTCAAAAAAGATTTCAGACAGAATCGAGATTCACGCTACGGTAATCAAATATGAAATAAAATTATTCAATATATTTACTTTGTAAAAATATATTTGACTTAATGCTATATGAATTTTTTTAAGGACATCATAGAGATAACACTAGTAGGAAACCTTTCAAACGCAACTGGTCAAACACTCAGAATGATGGGAAAAGGAAAAGATTAGAAATTGGAAGTCGATTAAAAGAACATGATGTTGGTATTACAGAATTCATAGGGAGTGAAGGATTTTTTGGTGTAATTAAAGAAAGATATACAGATTTTCATGTTAATGAAATTACCCTTGATGGGCAAGTAGCTAAATTAACTAATCAAGACATTCCAAAAGATTTATCAGAAAATGAAAATATAGAAGATTTAAAGCACACAATATCAGACATAATATGGGATCAACTGCAAACATTAAAAGATCCAGAGTCCTCTCCCATAGAGATAGATGTAACAAATGTGAATAAGGATCAACGTAGAGCAATTCATACAATTGCTAAACGAATAACAAATGTCATTAGCCAGACAATAGACAAAGAAAATAAGAAGATTATGATTATTTTACGAGATAAACAGGATAACAAATCTAGTATGTTTCACATCATTACTAAAATGTAACCTTTTTAATTGTTTTAATCTATTACTTGCTGTTACTAGATCATAATTTCCGAAGAGATACCCGGGTAGATTGGAAAAAACGTGGTGAATATTGTTACTTTGTATTACACAAAGTTAATATGGATACAATGGATGCTTTAAATCAGTTGGCTATGAATTTACGTATGAAATCAAATAATTTTAATTATGCTGGAACAAAAGATCGTAGAGCATGGACTACTCAATGGGTTAGCTTAAAAAAGACAGAACCATCAGACATATTAAGAGTAGCAAGAAGCGTACGTGGAGCATATGTGGGCAACTTTAAATTTATGAAAGAACCTTTAAAATTAGGTATGCTCAATGGCAACCACTTTAAGATTGCTTTAAGGAACGTAAATGGAACAGATGAACAAATTGAAAATACAATGGTTTCTTTGAAGAATAACGGTTTTATCAATTATTATGGTCTCCAAAGATTTGGCTCTGTAGTTACGATTCCAACTTATGAAATAGGGAAAGCCTTACTTCAGAGTAATTATATCTTTTAAATGTTATAAACACTTTATTTCTTGAAATACTTATCAAAGAGGTTTTAATTTCTTATTTTCTATTTATTAAAAATAGGTAAATGGAACGAAGCGATCGAATTAATTTTGAAACCTAGAGAAGGGGAACAAGATAGAGATTTAGCAGAAGCTAGAAATATATATGCAACGACCAAAAATGCAGCTGCTGCTTACAAACACATTAAGAGATGTGATAAAATAGAGGCAATACTTTTGCAAGGTATTTGCACAGCTGGTAATAATAATCCTCAAGGAGCCTTAGATGCTTTACCAAGAAATGCGCGCTTAATGTATATTCATGCTTATCAAAGTTTGGTGTGGAATCATATGGTATCTAGACGAATAAAAGAATTTGGACGGAAACCTATAGTAGGAGATTTAGTATACGAAAATCGTAGTAAAGAAAGTGATAATGAAAACGAGGAGTTTGTCTACAATGAAAATGTAGGTCAAACTGAAAATCATGCAGAGTCTGATGAAAAAGACAGTAAATTTAATTGTGAAAGTACAGGTATGGACACTGAGGAAGGACTTGGTAAAGTATCTGCAGATGCAACATGTGGTCCAATTAAAGAGGTAACAGATGCTACAGAGTGCTGTCTAAAAATTAATGAGAATATTAGAGGAGATAGAACTGTTAATGAGAAAAATGAAGACGACGATTTGCGCAACCTTCCAGGAGTGAAAATCCTCGAAGAAGAAGATTTACCCAATTATACTTTAGCAGATGTATTAATGCCACAAGTTGGCTGGAAAGTTACATATCCGACTTATGCTAAACCATGGTATGATGAATTTTTAGCAAGAGATGGATTGACTACAGACCTCAGGCAAAAAAATAAGTAAGATATGGAAGAAGTATACTTATGTATAACATCTTCAAATTTTAAGACAAGTATTTGATATAATATATATTTTACTTCAGGAAATACAGTTTAGGTGGCGCGTATAGAAAAATATTGGAAATTCCTACAAATTTATCTTGGAAAATCATGCATTATAAAGAAAAACATAGTGATCTCATTTTGTGTGATATTGACGAAATGAGAAAGCAATTACCACCGGAAGATGATCTAGGTATAATTTTTTACCGATTGAAGAACTATAGAATAGATGCAAAAATATTTTTCAACTCATAGAAAAGTAAATAAGATGTAGCAATTTCTTTTCCATTTACAGAGGGACAGTATAAAGCACTGATTGTTGAAATGTCTTTGAAATCATCTACATATGCAACAATGGCATTGCGAGAAATATTAAAATTCGATACATCTCCGCAAGCACAAGCTGCCCAATCTGCCGCATGCAATGCGGAGTTAGGAAACTGTGATATTTTAGAAGATTGTTCACAACCTGAAAAACAAACTTCTACACAAGATAATAACAAGATTGTTGATGAAGAAAAGACTGCGAAAATAGAGGAAAAAGAAATAAGTAATCCTGATATACTTGAAGAAAGTAAGCAGGAAATAACATCAGAGACTAATGCAATGTAGCTCTGTAATATATTGCTGAAGTAATTAGGAATTCTCTACTTCTTAAATCCTTTGAATATGCGAAGAAAAGATATAACAAATTGATATATGCTATTTCATACAAATTGAACTAATTTCGTTTATAAACATACGTTTGCGGCTTTTTTACATGTTAAAAAGATTTGTAATATTGAGCTTAATAAAGTATAGTAAATTACAACACTCATTTATTACACGATATACAATTGTATCATTACGCAACCAGCTATTGTTTATATGTCTCCACAATATTTTGTGATGTCCCATGCATTCATATATTAATTTTGGTAAAATTAGGACACAATACGGCAAACCAATTCTATTCAGTAGAATATATTGTATTAATATCATATCACAAACAATTTACAACATTGTGAAACATAATTAATTGCTTTTTGAAGTTTGATTCATTATTATGTTAATTAATTATATTTTGTGTTGTTATCATCAGCTTTTTTCATACAATATCGATGCAGCAGATTCTCCTGAATAAATCTGTGTCTTTGGTTTATTGTTTTATGTCCTAATTTTACCATAATTAATGTTTTTTGATCTGTATAAGCATTTGACAGTGGCGCCTCTTGTGGAGAATAATGGAAGCTCCGAACGAGGTCCATACAGCGCCAATTAGTAAATGGCAAAACGCTCAAACTACTAGCCAAACAGTGGCGCCATTTGCGGCGAAATCTGGAAGTTCTGGTTTGGCTAGCAGTTTCACCGTTTCGCCATTTACTAATTGGCGCTGTACGGACATCGAAAGGAGCTTCGGTGTATTCCCAAAAGAGGCGCCACCTTCACTTTCATTTGGGTCGCCTAAAAATATTAATTACGGTAAAAGTAGGGCATAATATGGTAAACCAAGAGCACATACCTATTCTGTAAAGAATACTGCATCGATTCGATATTAAAAAAAACAAATAACAACCTCGTGAAACATAATTGATTGCTTTTTGAAGTTTGATTCACTATTATATTATTTAATTAAATTTCGTGTTATTGTAATCAGTTTTCTAAACATTAAATCGATGCAACAAATTCTCCTGAATAAATCTGTGTCTTTGGTTTATTGTTTTATGTCCTAATTTTACCATAATTAATGTTTTTTGATCTGTATAAGCATTTGACAGTGGTGCCTCTTGTGGAGAATAATGGAAGCTCCGAACGAGGTCCGTACAGCGCCAATTAGTAAATGGCAAAACGCTCAAACTACTAGCCAAACAGTGGCGCCACTTGCGGCGAAATCTAGAAGTTCTGTTTTGGCTAACAGTTTCAGCGTTTTGCCGTTTTACTAATTGGCGCTGTACGGAGGCCGAAAAAAGCTTCATGATCTTGCCGCAAGAGGCGCCACAAGTCGATAACTGGCGGCAAATTTGATTTGTTTTGAAGGAAAAGAAAACGAAACACTTTAAGCGAGATTAAACATTTATCAGTATTTTAAATAAGGCAGTAACAATCCCAATAGACAATCTAATAATTAATTGATGACAACATAGCGAAACGTAATTAATCACTCTTTGAAGTTTGATTAGTTATTAGGTCCATACTCCGTCCTGTAGAATCACGATGCGGAATCATCCTACATGTTTTTCAAATGGCGGGGGATTTGATATTTGATCTACATAATTTGAAAACAAATTTTCTGACAGTATAAATATGAACTAATAAGGTATACAAAAATAAATTAGCTCTTAGAGAACATCTAAATGTTGATTATTATAATTGAGTACACACATTTGCAAAAATAAATACAACAAACATATTTCTACTGAATACATATAACGTTACAAGAAATGAATATGTTAACTGTTTTATCATATTTTCAATACGATTATGTATTTTATTTTAATCAGTTTTGATGTATGAGATATCATGCATCATATAATCATACATCAATTGTTCAGTTTTTATCACTGATAGTCATATTTTAAAACATTTCTGGAGGTAACTGGAGGCACAACGGCACGACTACATACTTTGACAAATTTAAAAGTATAACAACAAATAGCATTAGAAACGAATTGTATATAAATATGGTGCTACTAGGGGAAACATTTCCAAACTTTGAAGCAGATACTCAAACGGGCACAATTAATTTTCACGATTGGCTAGGCGACTCGTAAGGCTATATTTATTCATTGAACATAACCTGTTATATTACGCAATATTTCTTTATATTGAAATCTTATTTGCACACAAACATTTCTCCCATTTATTCTGCGTTATCATTTCGATCGGTTATAGACAAGCGATTAATACTTCTATAAACAACAATTAAAATACTTAAATATTACCATAAATAGCATGCTCCCAACAATTACCGGAAAATATTAATATATCAAAACGTGTTTAATTAAGTAAATTTATACATCTTTTAGATGGGGTATTTTGTTCTCTCATCCGAATGATTTCACTCCTGTATGTACAACAGAATTGGCTCGAGTAGCAAAATTGATGCCCGAATTTAAAAGATTAGGAGTAAAAGTTATTGGTTTGTCATGTAATTCAGTCGAATCACATCGTAAATGGATAGAGGTAAGTGTGATCAACATGTTATTTTAAAAAAATTTTATTTTACATTTTACGAAGATAATAAACAATACAGGCTGAATAAGAATTTACGAAATGCAACTGTATCTTTGTGAGTGTTTTAGGACATAAAGTCTTATGGACAAATAAAGGTAGACGAGTTTCCGTATCCGATAATAGAAGACGAATCTCGGAAACTTGCAACATCATTGGGAATGTTAGATCCTGCAGAAGTTGATGGTCATGGTATACCTATGTCTGCTAGGGCAGTATTTATCATTGATCCTGTTAAAAAAATGAGATTATCAATTTTATACCCTGCAACGACTGGAAGAAACTTTGAGTAATTCCTTTTCTGCATATTTGATGTTTTAGTTTTTATTTTCATTATTGTATATTTATTGTTACGACTTTTGGACACAGTGAAATTTTACGAGTAATTGAATCACTTCAGCTGACAGAAAAGTATAAAGTGGCAACTCCTGCTGATTGGAAGGTTGTATTTATGTTATCAACTATTTGTTTGAATCATTATTATTCTTATGATTATAAAATGTTTAATTTCTTCATTGCAATTTTCAGAATGGTGAAAATGTTATGATTCAGCCTAGTGTTACTGAAGAAGAGGCAAAAACGCTGTATGATAATATTGAAACTTTAACACTACCATCGGGCAAAACTTATTTGCGTATTGTACCTCAGCCAACCTACACATAAATAATTCTTTGAAATATGAAAAACAATTATTTTACAATGTATTTTCTTAAATTACCACAATTGATGTTGTAAAAATTAAAGTACACATTCTGATATTATACTGAGTTTTTTCTAATATTATAGTACTGTTGTATTTTTCGAAGTATAATTATAAATAAGCGTATTCATTTAGTGCCTTAACATTGGTACATAACAGCATATCATTTGAAACAGAATACGGTAGAAATGAACATTTTTTTTATTTAAAATTTCTTATTAATAATTTAGGACAAAAATAATTCAAAATAATGCGCTAAAATATAGTTTTCGAAAATTCCATGCTTAAAATTTTCATTGTCCACGTTTCCCATGCACACTTTCCACTGTTTCTATTAACACAATTCACAACTTATTTTTTCGTAATGCTGTTCTTCGATAAAGGTGAGCATAATTATCAAAACGAAGATTCTAATGTTGGTATTTGCAAACAACAGAAGAAGCTGTTTATTGTATCACCCAATGTAATTAAAAGTACACTGTGTTATATACATTTTTCAAAGTACACGATCGCTTAAGGTCTCTAGGCATAATGTATATAATATTTACACTGTTCTTGTTTTCTTTATTAAGTTATTACTAAATTTACTTTACTACATTATGATTATATCTTATTTTATGCCTGAATGATCCGCGAACTGTTGCATGACTACGCAATAGTGTGATAGCAGTTATATAAAACAGTCCCTCGTCAAAACCAATAAAGATCATAAAGAATAATAAATTTAACAAAACTATACTTTGTTATTGTAAAGTTATATAATTAAAAATTAATTACCACACAATATATCGAGTGATAAAATACTATTGCCAGCCTTCGTATTTGAACAGCTTCATGTTATACATTCACACTGACAGTAATGGTAATGCGCACGTGCTCACGCGCGAGCTTTCATTATTTGTCCCACTTCTCCCATTAAAATGGAAGGAGAAATCAAATTCTATAAATGTTTTTCATTCTTTTCTTTTCAAGTTCTTCGAATGCACTTGTGCTCTATTTAACTAAGAATTGTCGATGCATTGGGTCATTTATTTAAATGTCTATCAATCGACATTTTCTTTTTTTTTTGGAAATATCGTTGTGCGAATACTGCAGAATTATTGCAATAAAAATAGACGCAACAACGGAAGATTTGATCATTATCATCACCAGTATTATTCAGAACTCACTTAATTGTTGTCACTTCACTCGCTCGTTGTGTGAGTCTCTTGTTGCTGATCAGCTTGAAGTTCACCTTCCATTCTTGCTTGCCGTTCTGCTGCTGCTCTTGCTTGTCTTCCAGCACTAGACCGAAGATTTTTCCGTTCTGGAGGAGGTTCTACACTGAGTCGTTTACCGCTTCGTGGTTTCTTTCCTTTAGTGCCTTTATTATCTTCTTCTACTTCTGTTGGTTTTGATGAGTCTCCTTTAGTACTATTAGTACTTTGTTGTGGTGTAACCGTCTCAGACGGAATGGTCGTTACTTGAGTCGTAGAAGCAGGTGTTAGTACAGATGCTGGGGTAGGTGTAGGTGTAGAAGTTGGTGTAGGTGTTGGTGTGGATACTGGTGTAGGTGTAGGTGTCGGTGTATGTGCCGGAGTTGGTGTCGGCGTACGTGCAGGTGTAGGTATAGGTATAGGCGTGATAGTAGTCGTAGGTGTAACTGTAGTTGCTGGTACAGTTGTTGTTGTTGTAGTTACCGAAGGAGTTATTTCAATAGCTTCTCTCTTCTTCGTGTTCAGAGATGTTTCAGTTATAGTGATAGCATTGTTCTCTTCTACTGTATTTGGTTTAATTGTAACAGACGACGACCGCGATCCGTATTCTAGATCAATTGCCGATACGTCTACGGGAGTTATTGTTGTGGCTGGAGTGGTTGTTACAGGCTTTGCAGTAACTTCAATTTCGATTCGTGGCTTTTTATTCACGGGTTCAAGGGTTACCTCGAGCATACTTGATGGTTGCAGCTCGGGTAATTGATTATAATCCGTACCACGGCCCCTTTTGTCACTTGACCGTTGAATATCTTCAAGATTTCTTGTTAAAAGCTCTGCGCTGGTTCTACTTAGATGTTCCAGAGCCTCTTTCATTTCCTGGTCCTTATTCTTTTTCTCAATTCTTCGGTCAGAAAGATCTGCTATATCATTCTGCTCCAGGATTTCCCTTTTGTCATGCTCTACCCTGCGCCTATCTTCACTGTGTAATGCTGACATATCGGTGTACTGTTGTAGTGCTATTCCAGGATCCATGGAATATCTGGATCTTTTCTCGCTATCCTTCCGCTTTGATGTCGATTCGGAAATTGTGTCTCGCCGTGAGTTATTCCCTGACGATGTAGGTTTACGCACCGTTGATGCACTCGACGTCGCTGGATTTAGAAGACCGCACTGGGCAAGGCTTTCATAGGCCGATGACACACCGCCGGGTTGCATAGAGAATGGATTTAAACCACCCAAACCCAATGGTGTATATAAAAGACTTGGATTTGGAAAGAAGAAGGGGAATGGTGTCGTTGTTGGTATCGTAGACGATGCTGATGAAGTCGAAGGCACCGAAGATTTACTCGTTGGTGGTTCCAATTTACTACGAGATTTACCAGAGCAGCTAATGCTAGTTGAACCAGTGTTTTTACTACTAACAGAACTAACAACTGGATTCGTGTCGGCTGCAGTACTAGTCGCTGTTGCGCCCAAAGCAGCTTCCATACCCGCTAAAGATGGTAAACCAAGTCCAGCAAGATTCGCGAATAAAGAATTCGTTAAACTCATATTGCTTAAGTTGCTGAGGTTGCCTAGTCCACTCAATGCACCCAAATTTGGCAAACCACCGAACGGCATTAAAAGAGGATTGTTCTTCGGGTCAAAATTGCCAAGAGAAAGACCAGATAAAAGAGAGTTGTTCAGATTACCCAATGAGGGGAAGTTTAGGCCTGAAGCCATCGACGTAGCTACAAGGTTGGCTTGATTTGCAGATTGCTGATTAGTAGGGCTTGGCATCATGGGAGGTCTTCCTGGACTCTTGCCCTTATTGACATTGCCTCTGTCATTTCCTGATAATCTCTTTTGTAAGTCATGCGGAAGATTTCCACGTTCTTTTACCAGCTCTGCCCATTTTGGATCCACATCAAACATTGGGTTTTCGATTAACCATTGTCCTAATCGTTTTAGTTGTGGAGCTTTACTTCCAGTAACCTGAACATAATTAATTTGTTAATGTTCCATTAAATATTGCAATAATCTATATAATAAAACTAATGATTAAGAAGACAGCGTAAAAAATGTTACTTTTACAAACCTTTTTGCCCGTCAATCTATTGATTACAGCAACATTTTCTTCGCCAGTTAATTTTTTCCAATCTAGCAGAGATGGATCCACACGTGGACGTCGTCGTCTAGGTGCATTGAGATATTCAGCACTCAACTGTTCAGACATGGCAGTTTGTTCAGCTAACCATTTGTTCACTTTCGCTTCATGCGAATATGACCCAATCTTAGAAGAGTATTCAGCAACCTTATTAATATCTGCAATCATTGCTTCATAACTCTTTCTATGACCACTCGATGACGAGGAGTGTGCTGAATTGAAACTTTGTTGTTGCTGCTGCTGCTGCTGCTGCTGTTGTTGTTGTTGCTGCTGCTGTTGAGACTGCTGCTGCTGCTGATGTTGTTGTTGTTGTTGCTGCTGTTGCTGCTGCTGCTGTTGCTTTTTAAATTCACGATTTTGCTGTTCCGCTTGAGCAATTAAAGCAGAAAAACTATCTTTGTGCGAATGTAAAGACGGAGGAGGCAACCCAGACGAGGAGCTTGATGCTCGTGAAGAAGGTATCGAAGTAACGGTAATGGAAAATGGTTTTTGGGTGCTCGTCGGAGGATTCGGGAGACCCATAGGCGCAGATGTTGGAGTGACCGTTACATTCGGAGTTATTGTGCTCTTTTTACTGTGTTCAGGATAATGAGTACTTTGCTGTTCTTTCGCAGCGCTTAGTCCCAGCACTATTTCGTCAAGCTTCCTGCGCTTCTTCTCCTTTCCAATGACTGGTTCATCTGGCGGCCCGCCTTTTCTTTTCATTAGTTTATCTAACATACTATCTAACTTTCCTTTATTACTGCTAATTTGTTTATTTTTATTTGGCATTGAAAAATCTTGAACCTCGTTCATAATATCCTTACTGTTATCAGTGCTCATTTTTGGGTACCTAAAAATTATTCAAATCTCGATTGAATCTCTTATTCCATAGTAGACAATAATGTTGGAAATAAATTTACACACCATATAACTGTAAAATTACTATATGCATTTACTTAACAAAAAGTTTTGAATAAGTTTGATTAAAAAAATATCTGTTTATTCTAAGTGGTAGTAATCTTACCCAGCAGACAAGTCGATGGGTGTTAAAGTACTTGAAGTTCCAGGAATAACTGTCGGCTTTCCAGGAACTGTATATTTCAAGTCAAAAGGTATATTCGGAGTTCGTGCTTGTTGGTGTGCTGGTGGCGGCTGAACTGGCGTAGAACGCCTCGATTCTTCAGACTGTGATTCTTCATTTATTTCCCAAGTATTGGATCCAGATAACACTGCAGGCTTACTTAAAGCCGCGGGCGGTTGTACAGTTGTATGACTGCTATTCAAAAGAGCATGTAGTTTTGCTGAAAAGAAAAGTATAATGTATATGTTACCTACGCCCTGAATAATCTGAAATATGTATAAAAACTGCTTGGTAATGCCGCTTATTCCATTACCTCGTTCAGTCTCTACATCAATAGCAATGTGTCTCTTGCGTTTCTTCGATAATGGTATATTATTTCCAGGAGTTGGATTTCGTGACACTCCATGATCTGTAGTTATAGTGATCACTTCAGAACATTCCTTTTCGTTTGGCGGGATATCAGCTTCGTCGCCAGCACTAAAGTTTACAGATACTGGCCATTCTTTATGTTCAATTGCATGAACAATATGCATTAAACGAGCTTCAATAGCATGCTCCTGAAGATACAAATAACAAATTTTAAATGCGATAATGGTGATATGATAAGAATATTTAAATAAGCACAAATGAATATGTATACATAGATATGTACAGACTTGCTCACTCAAGTAGAATTTATCAAATATAACTTTTTCATAGGATCACGTTTCACACGCCCATACTACTTCTCACGAATGTTAACAAAATTTCAAATGTTATAACATGTCCTATGTGTTTCATGTCTACTCGAATCAGGTTAGTATGTGACATAGGTCAATTATAGAAGATGAGTCATCTGACACTGCCATATTAAATTACTCTTAAATTGCTTGTTATATGGAATAATGTTTCGAACAAAAGTTGAATAGCTATGTAAGTTGCATGCATTACAATAGCCTGTTTTTTTATTTATTTATCCAAATATAAAAGTCACATTCAATTTTCTAATAAAATATAATATATAAAGTAACACTCAAGGTAATTAAACAAATTTTTAAATTTTAAAAGTTAAAATGAGAGTAGAATAAAATATTTTCATGAACAAATTAATTTCTACTTACCTTTGGCCATTTCACAGAATTATTACAATTGTGTGACAATAGATGTACAACTGTAGGCTCGTTATAATCAACTGGTTTGTCACGGAGAACAAATGTGTCAATTTGAGTTAATCGTGATAGTGGTTGTATAACTTCCAAATCTGGAAACATTGCTTTAAGTTCTGCCGCTTGAACACTGCACTTGTCTTCTATTTTGCATACTTTCTTTTCTTTGGAAGTTTCAACCGTTTTTCCTTCTTGTGCTTCTATTGCTTCGTCTTTAACAACTGGTGGATCTGCTTTTACGTTTGTTTTATTATCCTCTGATGTCGTATTTTCAGTATTTATTATTGATCTTTCTATTGTCTCTGCTGTATCTTTTTGTTCTATCGAGCTTTTTTCATCAGTCTCTTTTCCTGTTTGCGACGTCTGTGACTCTTCAACTTTTACTTCCTGGGTTTCCTTTTCTGTTTCTTTTAGCGTATCTTTCTCTTTAGTCTGATTTTCTTCCTCAGTTTCTTTATTAATATTGGTAGTAACGGAAGTATTGGTATTAGGAATAGTAGTACTCGTAGTAGCTGCAGTAGAAACTGATGCTTCTTCAGTAGTTGTTGTTTCATTATTTGCTTTTGCTTCATCGATTTTGTCAGTTTCCGTAATCTGGTCAGTTTTAGAAACTTCAGTTTTTATCGATTCTACTACTAAGTCGCTTTTTTCTTCAGATTTTACTTTTGCAGCAGGCTCCTTATCTACGGACGTACTTCTGGGAACGGTTGTAATTGTTAATGCATTACCCAGAGGTTTCTCTTCAAGTTTATTTTCAGCTTTTATAATGGTCAGTTCAACCTGACTTTTCTCCGAGTCTGTATTCTCTGTTCTCTTGTCTGTTGTACTTGTGTCTTTGTCTTTTTTCGCACCTACTTTCTCGATTTTTAAAGTGCCTTCGCCCTTCTCCAATTTTACGAGTATTTCATCTTTATCGAACTTCAATATATCCTCCCTATTTTCAATTTTGATTGCCTTCTCAGATTTATCCATAATTTTAGACGTTTGGATGTTACTGTACATTTTCGAATTTAAAATTTTATGAAATGAAAAATCAGGATCATTTAAAATTGTAATATCGGTACGTCCTAAGCCATGTTTTGCAGCTCCAAGCAGCAGTTCTTTATCATGTTTTCCAGGTTGCCACCAATCGGGGGTATCACCTGACGGTTGACACAATGAAAGTCGTTCCTCTAAGTGAGGATGAGACAAGATCTCCTCACGAATTTTGCTTAGAAGATCCACACGATCCAATATTTGTCTCGCTTTTGCTGGACTGAGATGATCAACAGGAACGTCTGAAAAGTCTGGGATATATACACAATACTCAATACTTTAATGCATAGTAATATTTAGTGACTAATTTCGAATATATTATAATACTAAAGCATTGAAATAGATATAATTATGCATTGAAATATTTCCTTCTATGAATAAATTTGAAACAAACATCTAATTATACACATACCTTCTTCATCGTTCAACTTTGCATTACATGCTTTTTTACACATTGCTCTAAAAGACATATAATAGTCTGTAAGATCATTATCTGTTTTCTTATCAAATCTGGCAATACTTTTAAACTTTGTCCAGTCGTATTGTGCCTTTTTTCTATCATAATTAACACCGTAAGTTGATACAACACGTAAAAATTCACTTTCCTCGCGACGAGACCATTTTGCTTTTTGTTCTTCGATGCGAGTACGTTCCCTTTCCTTTACCATAGCTTCCATTTTTTCTCTTCTTTCCATTTTCTATGGAAAATATAAAATTCAATGCCGTGATGTGCCCAGAGAACATTAAAACACTATTTTATATTCCTTCTACTTACCAGAAGATACATAGCAAGTTGTTGTAAGTCCCATCCTTGCATATTTAAAGGCGGTTCATTCATAGGAGGATTATGATTCATAGTCGTATCACCTTCCATTCCAGTTTTGGATTTTTGTAGTATTTTTACGTCGTCTTTTACATTTTTTACGCTTCGTTGATAAGAAGAAATGACTCTACGCAAACGTGTGTTAAGATCGACTACGGAAGGCCAGGTTTTGTCGTCATCTAAGAGACCATCGTTTCCTTCATGACTGCTGCTAGGTTCTGGTATTGGCGTATCTGCCTTATTGGATATAGCAGGTGAATCAGTCGGTGTTTCGCGACTAAACTTATCGGAGTCTTTCAAATCTTTCAACATTCCAAGAGATTCACCGTCATCCATGTCATTTTCCAGGCTAGTGTCATCTCTACTGCTGCTGCTGAAATTTTAAGAAGCATTAATTTGCAACAGATACGATCCTCCTTGTTTTTCATACGTTCAATTCCATTTCCACTAAAAATAAAATTATCTAATATGTATGCACTCGTGAAAACAGATACATACTTAACTGATCATAAATATAACAGTTATTTCGAAAATACAGTCTACAGGTATACAATGTCAAAACTAAAAAAGACTTCCACGTTTACCACTTTAGAATGCTGTACATATTAAAAATTTACATTGTAAACATAATGTTATGGATACTTATATACATATGTACAATGTAATTGATCATTTAGAAGAAATTGCTTAAGGATCACTGCATATTGTCTGGTATACGTATATATACAATATATATATATATATATATATATATATATATATGTATGCATAATGCTCCTTCGCTGCAAACAAATTCTGGTAGGAAGTAATATTTTAAACTAGGTGAAAATGGAAAATAATTTTCTTTGCTGTTATGTTGTACAAATAAAATGAAAAAGAGAAAGTTTACGCTATTTCTACCATAGGCATGATCATAAGCGAATTAAAAATGCGTGCCAAGCAGTGTATGTTAGAATGACTTAGCAGTAGCAACATAGACATGGAAGAAAAACAAATAACGTAAAGAGAATAATTACTCACTTGATTTGCGTGATCTGAGACTGGGAAGGGGGAGGACAGCTTGTAATGAAAGAGAGAGCGGGATCAATCCTCATCTGGTCGTAATTCTCGTAGCCATGTTTGTAGCAGCCAACTATTAATGATTTATCTGCTTGCGAGTCCCACCATTTCACTGGTCGTTCCGTCAACTGTGGAGGGTTTATCCGCAACGCACTGTAGGGCGGTTTCATTTACAATTTGCCAATTTACTTATGCCAATTAGATATTAAAGTTATAAGAATTTTGCACTCGAAATTTCAAGAACCGCGAACTATACGATATTCACTGAATAGATATGGAGAAGAGGCTTATTTGATTAATTAAATTTGGATAATCGCAATTAACACTTAGTATACTTCTCTTTCATTTTTAATTAAAGGCAAATGTATATAAATTTCATCTCCTGTTCCGTTTGCCCCTTTAATACAGTGCACTGCTTTCTAATTATTTCTTACCATGACACCGCTGACTTGACCATCTTTGACCAATTTATAGCCGTACAAAGTGTTTACAGTAATTCGAAAAAGTTGCGTGTATATTTGTGTACATGTTTATAGAACAGGAATGGGAGGATTTTAATATTAGTAATGTAGGATCAGCGACTGATAGCTGTTTACAGAGCTACGAAGTAAACATAGTTTTAGCTCTATGAGCATTCCTCATACAATTACAGCTCCCAGGATAAACAAATACATTGCACATGCAACTATGAAGCTCTGTATAAGCACATATGTAAGTGCACGATATTCCATGATAGTCAGTTGAGCAAAGAATAATGAAGGTTCGTAAGTAAATATATTGTGAATATAAAAAACACTAACCTGACATGAACGCCATCAGAAATGTGTTGAACTAAATCCCCGATGATCTCATGCTTAATATAATAAAGCATTCGAACTCGTAATAGAACTCTGTGAATAACAAACAATTAATTAATTCAGCTCTTGTCAAATAAGCTTAACACACGAATACATAAATTTTCTAATTAAAACAATATATAACGTACTTATTCGCGTGTCGACTCAAATGTTTCCTATAATTACTTTCCAGGAATATGTCCCCGTCGTACTTTTCAGCGTTACTCCAGTGATTTGGATCACTTGGACCACCATTAACGACCGATCCTCGTGTTTCTCTACCTTCTCTGATTCTACCCTTTTTCTTTTGTCTACTATTCCTTCCGCCGGTGTTAATGCACACGTTCTTTACCTTTTCTCCATTCTCTACGGGTGTAATAAGGTCCCAAATAAAGTTCCGGATTTTCTCATCACCACGATAGTAACGAAGGCAGTAAAGCAAGATGACTCTTGCACAGTCCTCAATATCAATTTCACGCCATCCTCGACGAAACTGGCTATGCTGAAGAATCTCTTCCCATCGACCCCAGCCGAATGTAAGCAGACCTCGTTCTACTTTGAAGCATTCGCTCCGAGCCCAACTACCATACACCACTTCACCTTCACGAGGTACATACTCGTCGCAAAACTTCCGTGTCTTCTTACCGAATTTGTCTCTTCGTTTTTTACCTTTTGATAATAATAGATGAGTTACTTATATTGTCGTTTATCATAAATCATAAACAATTAATTATAACAAACAGATAGGTCCTACTATAAATGGCAGAAATACAAGTGTCTTTACAGTAATAGTAAGCCCACAGTGCAGAAATGACGTGAAAAAAATGATATTTGTAGAAGTAGTGTTCTAAATATCTTTTTATAGTGACAGTATATTTTTTACACATTCCGTGTGAAATTAAGAACCATGGATGTTATATTTGACAAAAAGGTGTGAGTGAATGCTTTGCCATGCATTACACAATACAATATAAGAAACATCATGTTAAGTTGCCAAAATTAATATGTGCATGATAATACGAATGTTGTAATCATTAGCTTTATGGACGTGCATGCATGTAAGTGTGATTACGTATGTGATGAAATATGTATACAATTCATCTAGATCAAAATGCTATACATTTACATTTATAAGAATAATTATGACCGGTATAAAAATAAGCACTATGCATTTAAGTTTTTGACATTAGAAATGTTCAATTACTTAACTATGAAAAATTATTGCAACTTATTGTGTTAACAAATGTTGCACCATGCAAGAATACTTTTTAATAAGAACGACTAAACATAATAAAAATATTTCTGAAACTATATCATAAAGCTGGAACATTTACATTATGTGTGTATACAATGTAACATTAATAAATTAGATTTGTGTTATATAAATCTCACATAATGAATCTATGTTAGTTATATTGCAAATTTGGTGGTTACAACATTTAGTATTAAACATGTAATTAGTTAGACAAAAATTTGAGTGTCTTCATAGGATAGAAATTCGACAGACTGAGCGTACTGCTAGTTTGTAGTTTAAGAAAAGAAAAAAAAAGACCCAAATTCTCAGTATTAAATGTGTAAATATGGCAATACCTTCATAATCACCGTAGATCATTTATCGACGCCGGGTATCACAGCCACGAAGTGATATATTATGTGAAGTTACAATACTAAGAATGGTGTTGTGCTTTAACATGCATCAACAATGAACATACCTCTACCTGTTAACCCACTACTCGTTTCGTCATCACTATTATCGTCAGAACTGTCAAGATCCGACATAACAACTGATTCGTCATGACCGTATCGCTTAATTTGAGTTCTTCGTCTTGGTTCTGATATCACTAACTCGTCCTCTTCTTTCTTCTCTGTCGTATCAATTTCCGCTTTCTTCGCCCATTTCTTCCAAAAATCTGGGTCGTCAATATTAATGTCCGATCTATTTGATGAACACGCGAAGCTGGCTTTTGAGAATGTTGATCCTTTTTCTGCTTCTATAGTAATGATCTACACAAAAAAAATACATGTTAATACTACGTAATAGCGTATATCCATAATGAAACAATGGACAGAAATTTGGTCGACTTACTTGTGTCCTACGTTCAAGTATTTGTTCTATATCTTCTTCGCAGAACTTATCTCCAGCATTATCATCATCCATAATAGCACCATAAGCACCTTTTTTTAATAAGTCTTCTATCTCCTTTTTCGTTAGTTGTTTGTTACCGGGATCTTTACCCCCTTGACTCGTATTCATTGATTGTAAAATAGCTTTGTCTAATCCAAGCTTCAAAGAAGCTTTGTCAAACATTTCCCTCTCGTAAGTGTTACGGCAAAGCAACCGATATACTTTTACCATTTTTTGTTGACCAATTCGATGACATCGGGCTTGTGCCTGCATAACGAATATTTGTATGAGCAACGTTGAAAGACCGAAAATAATTTTTTTAATTTCACCAGCTATTATACCTGTAAGTCATTTTGTGGATTCCAATCGCTGTCATATATAATAACTGTATCAGCAGCTGTAAGATTAATACCAAGACCACCAGCTTTGGTACAAAGAAGAAAGACAAATCTATCAGAATCAGGTTTGCTGTACCGATCAATTGCAGCTTGTCTTAAATTTCCTCTAATACGACCATCTATTCTTTCATATGGATATCTAAATAAATGTTTTCAATCAGAATATTAACAATCTATTCAGTAATGTGATAACATAAATATCTCAAAACGAATGAAAAAAATGAATCGGTTATATAGCTAACATACTTTTTATATAACAGATAATCCTCCAATAAATCTAAGCATTTCACCATCTGACTAAATATTAGTACTCTGTGTCCGCTAGCTTTAAGTTTCGGCAGTAGCTTATCAATTAAAACCATTTTTCCTGAACTGTTTACTAGTGCATGATAGTAAGCCTCTGAATCTTCCTTTTCACCAGTCTTGTAATCCAATTGTATTTGATCTTCTGCGCCATTAAGTAGGAATGGATGAATGCAACATTTTCTTAATTCCATCATAGTATTCATGAGATTCGGAATGTTAGCTGACGTGGTTCCCTTTGCAAGGAAAGAGAAGTTTCGTTCTAGGATACCGCGGTAATATTTTTTTTGTATATTTGTTAATTCCACCTAAATAAATAAAAAATCCATTTATTAAAAAATTATGCACCGTGAGCTATTAATTGATTCTCCAAATAGTACAATACGTAAAACATGAGTCAATTTTTGCAATCACCTCAACGACTGTTTCTTCTTTTGGAGCTAACGATTTCTCCACATCCTCTTTAAGTCGACGTAACATCATTGGCTTCAAAAGAAGTTGCAACTTATGAACTTCACTTTCACTACTTAAATTCCCAAATTCTTTGAGGAATGCTTCACTACTAGAAAACTGAAGTGGTTCAAGGAAGTTCAGTAATGAAAACAGTTCGTTGACATTATTTTGTAAAGGTGTACCAGATAAAAGTACTCTATGTTCTAAATTCAATTGTCTAAGACCCTCAAGTAACTTGCAATTTCTGTTTTTTAGCCTATGAGCTTCGTCAATAACACAGAGCCTCCAATTATATCCTTTTAGCTCGTTAAAATCTGTTATAATTATTTCAAATGTAGTTATCAGTACGTTAAATTTAATTAAATCTTTAATTTGCTGTCCTTTGTCATTTTTATAATAAACTTCGTATTCTTGAAGCATAGTCCGACTTGCTGCGCTGTAAATAAAATAGTGCGTTCAATAAAAAGTATTTTTTACCTAAATAGTTAAAATTATAATCTTTTTATCAACTTACGATCCATGATATACTACAACATTCATATCAGTCCAACTTTCAAATTCTCGTTGCCAATTTGGAATGGTTGAAAGGGGCGCAATTATTAAAAATGGTCCACGGATCCCATATTTATAAACTGCGTCCACAAATGTTAAGGACTGAATAGTTTTTCCTAAACCCATTTCATCCGCAAGAATACAATTATGCCCATTGTACCATGAGAATAACAACCAATTGAGACCTTCTAATTGATATGGTCGTAAACTATTGTTACTCTTATAAATTGGTGATTCTTCTAATTTTACCCATGCCGATGCAGTTGGTTTCTTTTTGGGCTAAGAAGAAAGTTATTTAAATAACAAAGTACAAACATTATTATTACTATTTACGAATTAATCAATTCATCTGTTGGTGATGCATTACCTTCCACTGATCTTTCGGAGGTAATTTATTAAACCTTCCAAATTGAGCTATTTTTTCTGGATCAACATCCTCTTCCAATTCCCAAGTAGAGTCCTCATACTGAAGAGACCGCCATTTAACTAAATAATGTTTCAACGTTTCTCCGCTCGTTGGATCAGTATGAGTCGCTTCATCAAGTACTCTATCAACTTCTACAAAATCTGGGTTAAATGGGTCGTCTTCGGTCTGCAAAAAATTACCGCTTATTACATGTATACATATAATCTTATCTTTTATATACGTTAACATTAAGAATTATCTCTACGACACGTTAAAAAATGTAAAAAGGAATAACAATAAATCAGTATGTACATTCTCAAAAATGTTGGTGTTCTGCTGTTGCCTCTGCTTAAATCTTTTCAGTTTAGCTTGAATTCGTTTGTCACCCTTATATAACTCTTCTTCAGTTCTCCATTCACAATGCAAATATGAAAAATTTCTATATTTAACGAAATATTCTTCAACTTCTACTATTTGAGGTTTCACTTCAGCTACTGCCGTTTCTGGTTTAGACTCGGTAACTTCATCTTCTTTCTTTCTATCATCTTTTATTGCATTTTCAGCATCACTGCTCTTATTTTCTTCAGTAGTTTCAACATCTTTCTCATCCTTGTCTTCTGTTTCTGATTTCTTCTCAGATGATTCTTCCTTGACATCATCTTCTCCTTCTTTCTCCTTAGTTTCTAATGCTGCATTTGAAGCATTATCATCTTTCTCAGTCGATGATTCTGTCTTTACTTCTGGCGGTGGTGGTTTAATTTCTCTTTTCCCCATGCGTGAACATAATATATGTTGCACAACCATCGAATCTTCATCCGTCGTATTCTATAATAACACGATTATTTAGAACTGTATGTATAAAATTTAAATGTGTTGAAAAACATAAGATAATATATAATGCATACTATATACACAAAGTTCGGTTTATTGGGTCCAACCTCTCCACCTTCGTTCTCTTTCTTAACAGAAACAGGCTTTGCTGCGTTTGCACCTTCTACTTTCTTAGAAAGTTGAGCATCTTGCAAAGGAACGTCGTCATCCGAGAATCTGAGCATTACATCATCAACGTATTTTTTACGATGCGTATTTCTCGCAGAACGCCTCTTATTATCATCTCCAGCTTCTGGCGATGGAGGTGGCGTGGCTGCTAATTCTTCACCATCAGAGTCAGGTGCAATCCGGCTTTTACGTTTTCTAAACATTATCAGAAAATATTAAAAATTAATATTATCTTTTCATTTAGTATCATACCAAAAAAATTGGAATATTTGAATAACACTTACTTCGAACTTCTGGGAGACTTTCCTGCTGAAACTTTTCCAGCGGTAGATCTCTTTCTAGCAGCAGCTTTCTTTTTATTAGGCGTAGCAGTTTCGGTAACAGGTGCAGCCTCCGAATTTTCTTCTTTCTTCTCATCTGTTGAGTTGTCTTCGGACTCACCCTTTTGTTTACCTTCATCCTTTGTTTCAATTACTAAAGGTTCGGTGGTCGAAGAATCTACTTGTTCCTGATCACCTTGAATGGACGGTTCAGACGGTTTCGTATCTGCTTCCTTAACTGCGCTTGAATCAGAGACTGCCATTTCCTCTGTTTCTTGTGCAGCTTCGTCATCGGCTGATTCAGACTGAGTAGCTTTTCTACAAATATACAAAATTTTTCGTGAAACTACTTTATTAACAAATGTTGTACATTCAATAGCAAGATACACGTATAAAGTAACTTACTTTCTATTACGTTTTGTAGAGTCCTTGTCTTTATTTCTTTTTCTTGGCGCTTTAGGAGACTTTGCCTCTTTTGGAGGCTTTGGTTCCTTTTTAACTTTCGGTTCTTTCGGTTCTTTTGGTTCCTTTGGTTCTTTGGGCTCCTTAGGTTTACGCGGTTTCCTAGGAGGTCGAGACTTTCTGCCTTTATTCCATTCCTCCTCCATGTCACCTGAAGATGGCTTAATGTCCTCAGAGTCTGCTGCACTGTCAACAATATTACTACTATCTCCAGGAGTTACTTGATTGTCTGATACTGGTTGTTCTGGTTGTTGCTGAGTAACTGGAGCTGGAGCAATAGCTTCTTTGTCAGCTTTCTTTCTGCTCTTCTTAGCTCTAGGTGTGCCTTTACCACGACCACGACCAGTAGTACTTGAAACCTATTTAAGAAAATTTTTTGAGCATTTTACTTTATTTTATAACGTATTTCGAATATTACATAATATATAGGTAAGATGAAATTGAAAATAACTGGCAGTTTACCTGAGGGCTATCAACGACGGCAGCTGTAAACATAGGAGTCTGAAGTATACATTGAGGTCCACCATTACATTGATCATTAGTTTCATGTTGCTGCAGTGCTTGTAACTTCTCCTGCAAAGCAACAATCTTTTCCTGATTCTCAGCAGCCGGAGGCATACAGAACAACTCCTGTAATTGCTGTTGCAATGCTGCTCTTTCTTGGTGATGTGTGACTGGTGTACAAGAAGTACCAAACCCACCAGATGTAACTCCTGTTGATGTTGGATTTTGTGGCATGTTGTACATGTTTGATATAGTACTACCACTAACAATATCTCCACCAGAAGGATATTGTTGACCAGATCCCACAATCATTTCATTAGGATATATATTATTTTTTGGAATATTTGTGTACTCCGTGAAACCTGGTTGTACTTGATGCGTAGGTTGCGAATTTGGCACTGACACTGCAGTTTGATGAGGAGGTAATACAATGCCACTGGTTTGATTGACCGTAGGTATCTGTTGACCATTTAAATGCGTTGGTGTAACTGGATTGGTTTGCGTTTGCAACTGGGGAGTCGAATTTGGTATAGCAGGTTGTAACTGTGGTTGATGTGGCATCTGAGATGAAATTATTGGAGCATTCTGTGGTATTATACCAACTTGTGGAGTCATAAGAGATTGAGATTGCTGTGTTGTCTGAACCTGTGTTACACATGGTGGAGTTGGTTGAGACTGTGATGGCTGTGCTAATTGAGGCTGAGAAATTTGTGGCTGTGATTGTTGCGCTTGACTTAATGTGGGTTGCTGGGATTGAGCAATTGAAGCTTGTTGTTGGGGGGTAGTTATTTGCTGTATTTGCTGCTGATTGAGTTGTGGTTGGCTTATTTGTTGTTGTGGAGGAGGTTGTTGACTCATTTGAGATGGTTGTACTTGGTTCAACTGTGGTTGCTGCGAAGACTGCATTGGTTGTTGAGGTTGTACTGGTGCTTGTTGTGTTGGTACTACTTGAGGTTGATTTATATGTATTGGTTGTACTTGTTGCTGTGGACAATTAATGGGCTGTTGTTGTGGCTGCACTTGACTGTTAACCACAGGTTGTTGAGGAAGTACAGATGTACTATTATTAGTTGCTGGACGATTCACTGAATTTATTTCTAAATGTTGACTATGCTGGTTTGTTTCACATGTACTTTGACTTTCAATAGTGGATACAGGATTCTGAACCTGACTTGGTGCTGGTTGTTGAGGTAATGTTGATACATTGGAGCAATCAACATTCCCATTTGTACTGGATGCTGGTAAAGTCTGCACAGTCTCCAATTGAGAGATATTTCCAGGAGTAGGTTCCAAAGGGGAATTATTCTGTGAATTACTTTGTATTAAAGTATCAGCCTGTTGTGGATTTAGTACATCTTGAGATTGATCTTGAACATTTTGATGCAATGCTTCATTTTCTTGCTTAGGTGTTTCAATCGGATTATGAATAGGATCTACAGTGTCCCTAGTTGTGGTTTCTGCAACACTGTGAATAGGTTCTGTTCCAGGTACTGGGAACATTGGTGTGTTCTGTTCAGATACTGAAGGTTGAGCTTCTACTATAGGTCTGTCTTCATTTATGTTTGGCCTTATTTGTGGCTGCTGCTGTGGTGGATGCGTCCATTGAGCAGGCATCGGCATTCTGGGACCTGTGATAGGAGGCATAGAACTTTGTGCGGTAGATTGAGATAAAACATTTGAGGCTTGTGGCATTGTTGGACGTGCTTGAAATTGATTATACTCTGGGTTTGAAACATTCGAATTTGATGCAGCAACTCCTGGTATCACCATTTGTTCCAAAGCTTGAAGAGTAGTTTGTTGTGATGATGGATTTATTTGTATCGAAGTTGGAGGACAAGGTGACACAGATATTGCACCTGGTTGAGTCGGTTGCTGATGTGGAAGTTGAACATGAGGATGAGGAGACAAGGTATTGGGTTTGGCTGGTGACATTATAGGTCTAGGAGACATTTGTTGTTGTACTGCTGGTGGTCTTGGTGACATCTGTGGTCTTGGAGACATTTGAGGTGATAATTGAGGAAAAGTTGCACGGTACTGAGGACTTGTAGCATGTTTAGCTGTACCAAATTGTGTTGTTGGTCCAGAGTGTTGTGGTTGATTGAACATGGAAGTTGCATGGTGAGAGTATTGAGGATCTATTTGTGGTTGTTGTTGTTGTTGTTGTTGTGTACTAGGATGCTGGGTATGCTGAGGATATTGCTGTGGATGAGAAGGATGAGTCTGATGACTTGGGTGGGTTGGATGATGATGTGGCATTCTTTGCGGAGGTTGTTGAGTTTGTTGTTGTTGCTGCTGCTGCTGTTGCTGTTGTTGTTGCTGTTGCTGATGCATTGCAAAGCCTGGATAGCCAGGAGAAGTCTGATACATTGATACAGAGTTTCCTTGCTGGTAGTGCTGTTGTTGACCAACCATGTGCTGGTAAACACTTCCTGTGCTACCAGCTTGCATTGCTTGATGCGGTACACCCATATTTCCAATCATACCTTGTTGATTACCAAAATGTTGCTGTTGTTGCTGTAATTTTTGATTCATAACTCCACTTTGGTCTTGTTGATGAGAATACTGCGGAGGCATATGTTGTCTATAAGCACCAGGTTGCGGTGCCATTTGATTATAATGTCTTTGCATTTGTGGATAAGCACCTCCACTACCTGGCCAACCTTGCATACTTGGGTCTATAGACATATTTGCTCTAGTCATTGAATGCTGCTGCTCCATTGAATACATATTATCATTATAATTAGGGTATTGTCCTCCACTTCCAGGATGGGGCCCTCTATGCTGAGGTGCCATATTCCGTGCTTGATTTTGAAATGCTCCTGGCACCATAGCACGCTGTGGTGCACCACTATCAAACGTTCCAAGATTTTGATTAAACATGTTGCGTTGTGTTGTATTTTGCAATTGATTAGAACTTCCAAATTCAGATCCGCCAAATGAAGTTAATTTTTGAAGCGGAGATTCTTGAGATATATAAGATTGACTAATGTAACTCCCTCCTCCATTAACGCCAGAGTTTGAAGCATCTCTAGATACTACCACAGAATTATTCGTGCCTGCAGGGTCAAAATGGTCGTTCCCCCCGAGGTCAGGAAGAGCATCAAGCATCGAGCCACTAACATCTTCACCAAACAGGTCGTACGAGTCCATGTCTACGCCGCAGGACTCTTCGCCTCTATTTCAGGCTTAAGAGAATATCGTATAGTCCCTTTTATAGTCATTAACGTGCCCATTGTTGATCCACGTCTTTTTTGCCTGAAACAATGTATGAAAGAATTCATATTATAGCAAAGAGTGCATTTAATAATAGTGATTCTTCCTAAATCATTTTTGTAATTATCATAATTATGAATTTTAATTATTTTAATATACTTTCTGATGACAATGACAAGTGCCAAAGGGGAAAAGCTATACGCTTATGACTTAATTTCACATAATCGCTATAACCTTTCCCTCTTGGAGCATGTCCTCATTTATAGTACCACTTTCAACTGTACTAAAGTTCATAATATAGACATATGTATGAACAATTATATTTTCCTATAAATAAAACTTATTAGAAACTTTCTATTACACACATATATATATGTTACAAACAATAAATTATATACAACAGACATTTAACATGCAGATGTAGAAGAAATATTAATATAAGAAACAAACACATAGGAACATATATGTAGCTATGTTATTTTTGTATATACTTTCTTTTAATTAAATGATAGATTTTATTACATTTATTTTTGTCTTATTTCATCATACAATTAAAAT